AAACAGGAACAGGGTCTAAATGCTGCGATCCACCCCCAGCCTCAGCCAGCCCCAAATCATTGGCAAGGATATACCTGGTGTACTCGGTGAGGCCTCTGGACTTGAACTGGGATCATTCCCATAAGAGATTGCTTTGGGGAGTGTCGTGTTTACCAGTGTTGACTGTCTGGTCCTACTTCCAGTCATTTTGAATTCTGGGTTTATGTTCTTATGACTCAGTTCCTATTTCCTTGGAGTGTTATGTCTGCTTTTCCCTATATTGCCCCAGTTCTGAGGCTGGTCCCCACATTCTACAATGAAATCTACTTATCTGAGTGTTTTGAGAGGGATACATTGCACAGAATGGGTGGCTTCTGTCACTGAGCCAGCTTGTCTTTCTCCTCCTCCTTTTCATCTCTAATCTCACTCCTTTCCTTGTGGATTGTGCCTCATGCCAGGGCGGAAGAACCTGATTTGCTTTTTATGTGTCTAATTTCTGTCAGTGGGCTACATAGGGTAACTACAGTGTCATCACAGATTTTAGGAGCTTCTCTCACTGGTCCCACCCTCCTTACCTCAGCAGCTGGGACCACAGACAAACAGAGATTCTCATCTTCCACCGTTATCCGAGCCTGTGGCATGAGGTGACACAACAGATGTGGGGGAGATGAAGGGATTGTTCTTTCAGACAATAGAGGTCTGTTGTTCACCCCACTTCCAAATCCTCATCCAAACATCATCTCTGTGTTCCCTGTCCAAAATACATAGGAGGGGACTTCAGAAAGTGAATGGAAAGTGGAATTAAAGTATGAGTTTGATTTGGTACAAAAGAGTCTTAAAATTCATGCATAGTTTTTTTCATGATTCATTTTCTATGAACTTTCTAAAGACCCCTTCACATTTACCTTCATACCCATGATTCCATTTGACTCTTATGTCAAACCTGGTATATTAGTCAGTTTGGGCTGCCATAGCAAAATACCACAGGCTGAGTGGCTTAAACAACAGAGATTTATTTCCTCACAGTCTGGGAGGCTGGGAAGTCTAAGATCAAGGTAGGTTTCATTCTGAGTCTTCTCTTGGCTTATAGGAGTCGTCATCTCACTGTGTGGTCATATGACCTCTTCTTCAAGTGTACTCAAGAGATGGTGGAGGAAGAGATCAAGCTCTTCGGGGTCTCTTCTTACACAGGTACTAATTCCATCATGAGAGCCCTACCTTCATGACTTCATTTAAGGCTCATTACTTCCCAAAGCCCTCAGGGGGGATGGCCGCGCTACAATCCCTTCTTGATTCTCCTCTCGGGATTTTGGTCACTCACATACACACACACACCAGGCATGATTTTCAAACTGCTGGGTCTGAGACTTGAATTGTTTTCGACCACATAGGAATCTAGCACCTTAACCACCACGCCAACTGCTGGCTTCTTGTTGTCATTTTGACAGCAACCTTATTGGAGGCCCTGAGCCAGAACCTCTAGTTTTTACTGACCTACAGAAACCAAGATAATGAGAGTTTGCTATTTTAATTGCCTAAATTTGGGAAGCAACCATAGATTTATTAGTATGAAAGGAAAGGGGCTTAATGCTATGCTCATGTTTATATTCTTTACCCACATGGCCAGACTTTCTCTATGTTTTTCATGGTCCTAAACAACTAGTGGGCCTAAGAAATTAAAACGGAAATTTTTTTTAAAGAATTATTTTATTCAACTTTATTTATTTATTTCAATTTGACCAGAGAGGGACAGAGTGAGAGAGAGAGAGAGACAGAAATTGAGAAAGCAAGCCGCCAGGTCTGACACTCGAATCGCAATTGGCCATGTGGGATTCCAGCGCCCTTAACCACCACCCCACCTGCTGGCCCCTTAAAAGGAAAATTTTTAAAAATTTTGAGACAAACAAAAATGGACACACAACATACCCAAACCTATATCTCTATTTTAGATGAGACGTAATACAGCAGTATTAGAAAATAATTTTCTGTATAAAAATGATACATATGAATGTAAAATTAATTAAAAATAAAAATTTTAAAAATAAAAAGATGATATATATGAGTATACAATAATTATTAAGATCATATACTCATGCCATTAAATGCTAAATGACCAAGGGTAATTTATAGAACTTCTCTGGGTCTCATTTCCATTATTTGAAAAAATGGAGATATTAATAGTTAATACTTCATTTTATGTGATAAAAAGTGAACAAATACCTATTGAGTACTTAGCAAAGTAGCTGACAAATAACTTTAGTTAAGGTTTAGTTTATTATTAACATAAATATCAGGTATATTGGATCAGTGAATGCACAAACTGAGGTTAAGTAGGAAGTACAGAGCATCGTATTCTCCAATGTTAATCTAGTATCAACTCATGGTTTCAAGGCGGAACTAATATGGCAGTTGAAAAACTTTGACATTGATTATTGAACTTCAATAAAATAAGTATAGCACTGTAATCATCCCCCATTTCCTTTTTTTAAAAGAATTATTTATTATTATTGTTATTTTAAATTTTGACCAGAGAGGGAACCAGCAGTTAGCATAATGGCTATGTCGCTGGACTCCCACGTAGTCGACCGCGGTTTGCGTCCCGGACCCGGTGGCTTAAAACTCACGCCTGGCGCGTGTGCGTGCGTGCCCAAGATCCTGAGAGGAGAATGGAGGAGAAGGGATTGCGGCATGAGCATCCCCCCTGGGGGGTGATTTCTCGCTTTCTGTCTCTATGTCTCTCTCTGTCTGTCTGGCAAGCGCACGCGCCCTATAGCGAAAACCTCTCAAAAAATTTTTTTTTTGACCAGAGAGAGAGAGAAAGTGAGAAAACAAGTCTCCAGGTCTGGGACTCAAACTGTAATAGGCCATGTGGGGATCCAGCGCCTTAAGCACCATGCCACTTGCCAGCTCCCTACCTCCCCAGTTCTGACCTTGTACCAAAACAGTAGTAATAATCTTATTGAAAATGGCAATAATACCATATATATATATTTTTTTTTGAAGAGGTTTTTGCTATAGGGCGCATGCGCTTGCCTGAAAGAGAGAGAGACAGAGAGACAGAAAGTGAGAAATCAACCCCCGGGGGGGATGGCCATGCCACAATCCCTTCTCCTCCATTCTCCTCTCGGGATCTTGGGCACGTACACGTGCCTGGCATGAGTTCAAGCCACTGGATCCGGGACTTGAACCGTGGTCGGCTACATGGGAGTCCAGGGACATAGCCAGTACGTGAACTGCTGGTCCCAATAATACCATATGTTAGTAGTATGCCTAAAACATATATCCTTAGTACTGATGGACTCAAAATAAGTGCTCAATAAATTGTAGTGATTGTTAATATCTTAATAGCTGTGTGGTTTTTCCAGGCATGTTTCTATTTGTTTTGAACGCCCTTTTCCCTAGAATGAGGTGACAGGTTCCACCTTAAGAGAGGGTGCCTTGCTTGGCTGTGAACCTTACTTCTTCCCTGGTAAGAGCTCTCAGCTTAGAGAGCCTTAGCAGTGAGAGCTCCAGCCCCTCTCTCCTCATCCTCCGCAGCCTTCATCCTAAACCTTGACCTTTCATCTCAGAATTTCAGCTTTGATGCTTCCCACTTCCTTCCGATGGTTACTTTAACCGAAGTGAGTCAGGTCTTACTGAAAGAGTGACCACAGCCAGTCAGCTCCCTGCTTCTCAGCCCAGGCTGCCTGGGCAGAGCATGAGGGGAGCAGTGTTTACTCACCCATTCTTTCCCCTCTCTCCTCCAAGTCACGGGGCCTTGAGTAGGGCTTCCCCAGCCCGTGACCCTCCCAGCAGACCGCAGTTAGAAGCAAATCTCTCCTTTGGTGGCTAAGGGAGGGGACAGAAAGAGCGGCCATTGGAGTATCTCATTGAATGCGCTAATTTGCTTACTGTCTCCTCTATTGGGTCCAGTCCTGTTGCCTCCGATCTCTGTTCAAAGAAGATTTGGTAGATGTTTTTAGTTAGGATCACCAGTCACAACCAATGGAATGTACTGGGGCCGTCTTTCATCACCTGGGGCCATGGTAGTACTTTCTCTTACCCCTCAGGATAACCCAGAGAAATTTGTTTTCACCCTCTGGATTTGGTGCTTGAAGAAGCAAAACAACAAAAAAGAAAACAACAACACACTCAAAACCTCCCTCCCTCTCTTTCTAATAATTTTCTCTGTACGGATTTCCAAAACAGGATGTTTTTAAAGGACTTGGATTTTCTCTGTACGGATTTCCAAAACAGGATGATTTTTAAGGATTTAGGAAAAATCTTTTTTTTTTTTTTGGAGAGGTTTTTGTTATAGGGCGTGTGCGCTCGCCAGACAGACAGAGAAAGACAGAGAGACAGAAAGCGAGAAATCACCCCCTAAGGGGGATGGCCACGCCGCAATCCCTTCTCCTCCGCTCTCCTCTCGGGATCTTGGGCACGCATGCACACGCGCCCGGCGTGAGTTTAAGCCACCGGGTCTGGGACTCGAACCGTGGTTGACTACATGAGAGTCCAGCGACATAGGTATTATGCTAACTGCTGGTCCCAGGATTTGGGATAAATCTTTGAAGGACTGAGATATAGGAAGACCATTGTGGTCTTTGCTGTTGCTTTTCTTTGTTTATTCATTTTATTGTTTGAGAGAGAGAGAGACAAGTACCCACGACAAGGTCTCACATGCCACTCCCCACCCTCTAGCCTTCCTGCCAGTGAGGATCATGGGGGACTGCGTGCACTCCTGGCATGTCTCAGGTCAATCCAGGGTCCCAGCTGCAATCATCCATGTAGCTCCAGCACTTAGAGTAATGCCCCACTACCTGAGCCACCATGGCTGGGCCATTTGCCCTTGGTCTTTGAAGCGAGCATAGCTTTTCCTCCTCATCCAGTTTAGAGCTTTCCCTCTCTCCTGGAAGAGTGTAGTTGCTTCCTTTCCTTGGAATGCAGAATGCATTCTTCATCTAGTCTCTTCTGTCTTGGAAACTCAGAAGGAAAAATTTTTAATCCGATAGGAGTGAACTGACACCATAAGAAGATTTTAATAAGGTCCATTTATTTATTCAAAATTAATATCTGCTATGAAGACAGACAAACAATGTAACATTCCCAGAGGAATTGAATTATGTCTAGTTGACTGAGTTCTATTAGAACCAATCTTAGGTCGTTATAAATAACAAGCTAGCCACAGCTTTCAAGAATGAAGTGGTTGGGGAATGAGGTCAGGGGGAATCCCTCAGAGCCACGGGAAGGTTAATCATCAAAGGGGCTCCCTAGTTTCTCTTCCCAACAGGGTAAGAATCTTTGTGACACTCTAGGTGTCTCAGGCCCAGGGACAAGAGAAGTTAGAGGGAGGTGAGGAAAATAGCTCAATAGCTACAAAGTGTGGTCAGGCTTAGAATGGAAGCTTTAGTTGGCTCCCTAAAAAAACATATATTTTTTTCTTTATATAACTTATTATTTCTCTTAAAACACTCTCATGCCATAGAGTATCACCCTATGGAAACAGCTTAAACATAGGTGAAAATAATAAATACTGAGAAAAATTATGTTGGGCTTCTTTCTAAGTATTTCACAGAGAAGCTCAGTAAATAAATAGGAATGGGAGTTGAGGTAACAGAGGTAATAAATATTCTAGGAGAAAGGTCCAAGAGGTTTTTCCAAGGAGTTGGCTCGGCCATCCCAGAATCCCAGATCAGATTTTGAAGATCCCCACTGAATGTCCTAGAGCCTAGTAGAGTCACCATCTTAGGTATTCTAGCTGTTGATCTTCGTTGTCATGTAGGCTTCTATGTAGTTGATGAAGATGTCAAACTCACTCATGGCTTTGTAGACACCTTTCTCTTGGAGCTGTGGAGAGAGATAAGAGACCTTTAGATAAAACTCCATCTGAGCAACTGAGTGGGTTCTCTCCACTGGGATGTGCATGACCCATGAAGCTTAGGTGAAAACCCCGACTGCAAGCTTCTTCCTCGGATTGCCACAGAGGCTGCACTTGCTCCTGTTGGAGGTCAAGGACAGGCCCCGGAAACCCAAGTTCTATGCTCAGTTGCCTAGGGAAAGGCTGTACATTGACCCTTCATCTCCTCCAGGCCTGAAGCATGTCTAGTGGGTAGCAAGAAGAGCATTCACTTTGCAAAGCACTCTCTTCAAAATGGTGCCTTTTCAACCATTTTAAAGGTCATGTGTTCAAGTGAGCTCATACAGAATTTGATGAAAAGACACTAAAGGGAGCACCCGGAAAGCCAGACTGGGAGGAGAGAAAGAAGCCTTTTGTCAGCTCATGCTCTCCCACCAATGGAGTGAGCAGCACCAGCTCTGCCACTCTGGCCTGCTTTCAGGGGATTCACACCCCCTGAAGTTAGAACCCTACCCAGTGTTCGTTTTCAACCAAAGAAGAGGACATTGACCACAGGCTTCGGGGAAATGGAGTGGAAGAGGTTCACTTCACAGACAGTTGGAAGCGTGAAACTTCATTTGGTTTGGGAGTTTGACATTCTCAGGCACCTTAGGAGGTGTGAGGGACAGACGGAAAGTGAGCTTGAGCTTCAGATAAGTGAGACTTCTGCTTCCTGCTCATTCTGAGTTTGGGGGAGCCCAGGCTGAACCCCTAGGTATGTGTGTTCACGTGTCAGCTTCCTGCACGTGTGGGTTCAGGCTCGATTCCCAACTAACTACTTTCTGTACTTTCTGTTTCCTCTGTCACTCTCCCCAGCACAGCTCGCTGTGTTCACAGGCTGGCTGGCCAGCCCAAGCCGCAGGCCTGCAAAGGCAGGAGGAGTCATTTAGAAACCCCCAAAGACACTTCACAGAAAACAGATCTAACCGAGGCGGCAGCTCCTTTCTGGCCTAGGAGGTCACACCATCTGCCAGGTTCTCACACTCTCTTGAGTGCAGGACGGGGCCTGCTGTGCACCTGCCGCCCTCTACCCTTTGGGGGAGTGTGCAGGGGTCACGCTCCACGTACCCTCTGCCACCATCCAGACTCACCTTATCAAAGGCGCTCTTCACCTGCTCCACAGCCTTGCTCTTGTTCTCACAGGGGAGGAATCGGTGCTGCGGGAAAAAGGAGAAAGTGTTTCCATGCCTGCTCCCAGTTCCCACATCCACGGCACTCGGGGACAAGCTGGTGGCATGAAGAAAGGGCCTAGATTCATCCTGAATATCTGCCCGCATAACACCTGGGAGCCGAGCCCTGCCTGTCCCTCACCCACTACTCAGTGGAAAGAGGAGATACAGCCTCAAGAGGTGTCTCTCTCTAGGAGCCACTCTGAGGCTTGGATGAAAGCTCGGATTGCACGCTTCCTCCTCCAATCGCCGCAGCATCTGCCAGACTGCTGAGCTGGGCCTTCCTCAGTCTGTCCTTTTCCTGCCTCTTCTTCTCCTTTAATCTTAGCCACTACAGGCCATTTCTAAGTCCTGAAGTATGAAACACAGTCCCAGCTACAGACACCCAGGTCCTTTGCACAGCCCTGTCCTGTAAATGGACTCTGATTTCCCAGCGTCCGTGGGAGAGTCAAGGACACCAGCACCACGAGTGTCATCCCAACTGCAGAAATAAGTGATCTGCAACTGAAGTAAAGCACTGGGGGGAAGTCCTGTCAGTCAGCTGGGCCTGACTTAGAGCTGTGCTTTCAAAAGGCTGAGGGCAAGTGAGTGATGTTTCCTTGGCTTGGGAGCCCCCGTTTCCAGCCCAGAGACAGAGGGAGCCCTCGCTGAAGTTCTGGGCCCCTTTCATGAAGAGAGGGGGGAGTAGTTAATAGCCCACAAATGACTCACAAATAACAGGAAAGCTGTTTGCAAATCTTCACATGTAAATGCCTCGCAGCCTCCCCCACCCCTTGCTCGGAGAGAAATGAGCAACAGAGCTGACTCCAGCCACCTTCCCGCACTCATAGCTGGCCCTGCCAGTCTGTGTCTTTGGGCTCTCTGGATGTGATTGGACTTGCTGGTCCCTGAGTGATGGTGTTTCCGGGACAACTGCGAGGCTTTCCGGGACAACGGCGAGGAAAAGCGCTGGCCTGCTACTCACACAGCGCCGCAGCCGCAACCTGAGCGTCTTCAGCTTTTCCCCCAGAGAGTTCACGTGCTCCTTGACGTCTGGGCTGTGGTTCTCAGCCTGGGGCATCACCTCCTCCAGGTAAAACTGGATCATCTCTGACAAGGCTTGGCAACCCAGGTAACCCTGAGGGCAGGGGCCACAGTTAGGGCGGTGGTTGGGAGGTAGGGCGGCTGTTTCTAGCTTATGGAGACATCTTTGTCTCCAGAGACTCCTTAACTTGCTGCTACCTTCTGGGGCCGAGCCCTTTGTAACCCTCCCGCTGCTGGCTATGTGCTAAGATCAGCCCACTTCTCCTTTTCAAAGTGAAGGAAGCAGACCCAGCTCCCTGCAGTCACGAAGCAGAGCCTCCCTTCCCTTAATCATGGGGCACACTCTCCCCTCCCACCACCCTGCCTCTTACCTTAAAGTCCTTCAGCAGAGACTCACTCAGCAACATGTTGTCCAGCTGATCACTGGTTTGCTGCAGGAAGAGCAAAAGGCGAAGGAACCTTAGGTTTTGGAAAATATCAAAAACACATGTCTTTCTGCTGCTCTTTTATGGATAGGGTTTTTGATTTTTAATTAATAGAGTTCTGGCCCCAAAAATCTAATGGAAAGTTTTTAAAATAGAGACTTCAACAGAGCCAGAACTACTAGTTAAATCAGATCTTTTTCCTAGGAATCATTTTTTTTTTTTTTAATCTGGCTGATTTGGAAGTGAGGCAGAAGCTTGACTCAGTCCTGGATTTTCTGCAACCACACGAGGTTTTAAGGGGCCACCCATGTCAACTGTCAGTGCCTGGAGGCCCTCTCTGCATCTTTCTCTAGGTTGTGGACAATCAGCTCTGAAGGATCTCGGGGAATGTGTGCATCTCCCAGGGCAGGTTTCCTCGGGATCTCATGCTTCCTGACCATCAGTCCTTCAGATCTGAAAATAAACTGAGCAGAAGTAATTTATGTCTCCCTGCCAGGGGTATGGGGCCATCTTCACCTCCTATTAGACTCTCCTTGCAAATAAATTATTGAGCTCCAGTGGAATCTTAAAAGTTTGCATAGGAAAGAGAATGCCTCTAAGGCAGCTTTTCCTGCACCTTGCCATGTCATCTGGGCTTAACTTTAGCCCGTGGTTTGATCTAGGACTCACTTAAGAAATTGAGTTGGAAGAGGGATGGGGTGGAGGAGGAGAAGGAAGCTCTTTTATAACTCAGGCAGAATGCATAGTTCAGATGGTGCCCCAGGCAGAGAAAGGACAGGAGGGCATCATACTCACAAAGAAAGTCTTCACCCTCCCAAAGGCAGCTCGGAGCTCTCGCAGCATGTTGGGCAGGTTGGCTGGGAAGTAGGTGCAGCTGTCCTCAGATTGGATGCCCTGGGCTGGGCTGGCTCTCACCCCGGCCAGGAAGACCAGGCAATATAGCAGTGCTGAGTTGGGCATGGCTGGACTCTGCCTTCTTCTGCGTGTGCCCTTGTGGTTTGGTTTTGCAAGAGCGAGCCCCTGATGTGTAGACCTTCACCTCTTGTGTCCCCCTTTTATATTGTGGGCTCAATGAGGCCACAGAGCTAATTTCCTGGCAAAGGTTCTTCATTATTATAGCTCCTCCCTTCCCTAGACCTCTGAGATTTTGCATTCGTCGAACTTAAATTTTTCAATTTTTGCATTGTAAGCAAAAGGATTTGGTGAAGATGAACTTCTGCAATAGCTATTTTTAGGCCACGCTACCTCTTTCTTCTTTTTAAAATAAATTTTCAGCTTCTCAATCAAAAAAAAAAAGTTGATTTCCTGGGGTGTACAGCTGTTCTGTGCGCAGAGACCCACAGCTGTGGCTTCCACTCACGTGTTCCTAGGTCATAGTGACGTGGACAAATTGACCGTTCTAGAATACGCTGGGATTGAGAAATAATTGGGTCCTCCCTCAACCTGGGTGGAATATCCAAGGCTTGTCATTGATGACTTGGAAAGTCACCTTGGCTTCTGGGCTTCAGTTTCCCCAAGTGAAAATGAGGGGGTAGACAAAACATCCTCAAAGTCTTATGTTCGAAGACTGCCTTTTGAAAATACTGGTTGCCTACAGGACAGGCAGAATCCCGGATGTGCTGCAGGCTCCTTCTCTAGCTCTGGATCTACTTAGATTCGCAGGTCTCTGTTTCTACCGCCTTTGCTGTCCCAGTACTTGGGGGAAGATAGGAAGACTAATACACACTTCCCAAAAGCTCCTTACCTGCCGGCCAGGTAACCCTCCCCATGACCCCTGTTATCTCTGTTTTATAATGAGCAAAGTGATGCACTGAGATGTGACGTCGCTTGTGCAAGGTTGCATGGGTGCCAAGGGAGGAGACCAGAGTTTGGTTCCCTTGCTCTACTCTGCACTTTCCCCAGCTGTAAAGTGGAGGGTGGATTAAGTAGTCCGAGGGTTCCTTTTAGTTGTGCGCATCTGTGGCTGGAGTCCAAAGTTTGAAAGATGAGAGGATAAAGTAGAAACAACAAGAAAAAGAAGACAGGGCCACAAGAAGGCTGGACCACAGGTCCCTTTCTTTCTCTTACCTATCCCCTCTCCGTTTTCCGGAGAAGTCTCGGGAAAAGCAACCTAGTTTTGGATTTGCATGTGGGTGCACGTGATGTGCAGGGCAGGGTAGCCGGGGGTTGGAGTGAGGAGTGCTGTCTTACCTTCAGCTGGAAAAAGTCAGAGGCAGTGACGTCAGGGCTTCGGCAGATATTCAGAACGTCTCTGAGGGTCCTTTGTGTCTCGGTGTTTCCTGGCATGCACAGAGGCTTCTCCCACTATCTCAGTTTAGACAGTAACCGGAAAGAGCACCAGCCTGGGGCCAGGAGGCCTGGGCTCTGTCCTGCCGCTGTCCCTTTATACTCAGGCCAGGTTACGCATCTTTCCTGTGCCTAGTTTTGACCTGCCCCAAAGGGCAATAGTACTGGCCCTCCTGCCTGTCAGGGGCTTCTGGCCTTCCATACAACAAGTAGACGCAGACCTTCCGCCTCTTCCTGGAACATCTGTGATGGCACTGGGCTCTGTGCCTGCCTTGGTGAAGGTTGCCATGCCCTTGGACCCATCTAGTCTGGAGGAGGGGAGAGAGATCAGGCCCACCCTGTGCTGTACCTGCTCTGGTGACCTGTGGGTCAGGATTAGAGCACTGTGGTCTCTCTCCTCAACCATTTAGGAGTGTCATTGCAGAGACCTAAGAAGAGAAAAAGAACTTTCTAGAAATTGGTATGGAGCTCACTCAGGAACTAATCGCTCCTGCCAGATTAATTCTGGGTTTAGGAGTACTAAGATCTGCCACCAGGAAGCAGGGACAAAGGGGCCAGGACCTGGGCTTCCTGCTCCTTCCACCTATCTCCTTCCCTCCTGACTCCTGGGATTTCTGATCTGTGTCTGCTACAACCTGCAGGACTGACACCGTCTCTGAGCTGGGCGTCCCATGTGCAGGTTCTGCATGGCAAACCAGGGAGGTGAGGGAGCCTGGACTCCAGGGGAAGCTGTGAGGTCCTCCCTCACCCAGGTAGCATGAATCCTCTCTCCCTTTGTTTCCCATTGTGCTCCGTGCTTCCCTCAGTATGAAATCTACAGCCGACCTCACTGTCATCCATGAGCACACCTGTCTCACCCAATCGGCTGTGAGCTCCCTGAGGCAGGATGTTGTTTGCTTCATCTTGTGAACCTGGTACCTAGCACCGAGTCTGGCCCACGGAAAACACAAAACTGTACTTAGGATGGGGAGAGAAGAGATAGGTATGAGGGCACCTGTGAGCCTGGACCTGGGCTGGAGGGTACAGTGCTAAGGAGGCTGATCTGGGCACAGGCAGGCCCTTGGAGGCATAGAGAGAACAGCTCAGGAGGCAGGCAGTATCTCCTACCTTTCTTTCCTATGGTTTGAGACACATATGTAAACATGAACATGCACACACACACACACTACAGAGGGAGAAGGGAGGTGTATAGGAGCCATTTACATCTTTTTTTAATCCATAATCTACTAAATAGAATTAAGGTTAGGATCTGGCTTCTTCTTCTTCTTTTTTTTTTTTTTTGCATTACTTATTTAATTTTATTTATTCATTTATTTTAATTTGCCACGAAGTCCAGGACTTGAACCGTGGTCAGCCCTGTGGGAGTGTCTAGCACCTTAACTACCATGCCACTGGTTGGCCCTGATCTTTATTAGTTTTGATAGATGCAGTCAATGATCTCAACTCATCCAGTGAATACTGCGGCTTTACTCCATTGGTTTGAAATCATTGTCCACACTCCTTTGAAAAATCAGTCTAAATGGTCGGAGGCAAGGTCTTTGAAGCAACTTCTTAAGTCAACAAATGGAAACAGTATCTTTCCTAACAACATGTCTCATAGTCTTGATGTCAAGAGACGTGAGTATGAGTGAGAAAAGTGAAGACTTGGTGTCCTTAAATTGACAAAACAACCAGAACAAGAATGGTGACCCCTTGGCTCAAGTCTGTGAAGACAGCTGCTCCTCTGACACGTCTTAGGATTCACTGGGAAAAGTCCCAACCTATAGGTCACATTGGAGACTCATATGCCAACCTTCAGATGTGTGTAAGATCTGAGTTTGGGTTTTAGTACAAGGAAAGAGTCCATGCAGGGGGGAAGTGAGAGAGCAGGCGCCTAGGGATGGGATGGGTGGGGTGTCAATCTGGGCCCATTTGATCTTGCGAATTTCAAGAGAACACAAGGTGAGCTGCTTGAGATTTAAATAAAAATTTCCAGTGGGGACAGAGGGAAATCAGAAGATGGTTGTGGGCGGGGAAATACCTGGCCTCATTCACCCCTGCTCCAAAATATTCCCTAACTTCTGTAGTCAGCTGCAAATTAAAGAAAATCTTAGTAAGCACAACCTTTTTTCTTTTTATTTATTTTTTTTTTTGGGGGGGAGCATAGAGCATGTGTGCTCTCTCTCTTTCTCACTCTTGAGAGAGACAGTGGGGAGGAGAAGTAAGAAATCACCCTTGGGGGGGGGTAGCCACTCCACAATCCCTTCTCCTTCTCCTCCATTCTCTTGGGATTTGGGGCACGCACGCACATGCACCTGGCCTGATTTTGAAGCTGCCAGATCTGAGACTCAAAGTGCAATTGGCCATGTGGGAGTTCAGCACTTTAACCACTATGCCACCTGCTGGCCCCAAGCTCAACTTTAAAAAGAAATGGATTTAAATTTGTTTTGTTTTGTTTTGGTTTTGCCTCACCCGATAAATCCTGAGGCAGGCAGTTTCGGGTTGATATAGCACTCATATATCATCCAGGACTTGTTTTGTCTTTTCCCTTTTCCCTTTTTCTCTTTTTTTTTTCTTTTTTTTCTAGTTTGCTATAGGGTGCATGTACTTGCTGGAGAGAGAGAGACAGAGAGAGAGAGAGAGAGAAGAGAGAAGAGAGAGATAACTCACCTCTTGGAGAGATGGCCACACTGCAATCCCTTCTCCTCCATTCTCACCTTGGGATTTTGGGCACATGTGCACAAATGCCCAACATGTTTTTCAAGCCATCAGATCCAGGACTCAAACTGCTCAACTGGTCATGTGGGATCCAGCCTCCTTAATCTCCATGCTACCTGCTGACCCCCAGGGCTTCTTTTCTCTGCTTATTCTCTTATCCTTTGTTGCAAGATGTCAGAGAGAAGGGAGGTGATAAAGTCTAGAAGTCCAAAGGCACATCAGCTGAGGCAATTCTAATAATCCTTTGGGAAGCTCCACCCAGCAAGTTTCATCACTTCAGCTACAGAGGAGTCCGGGCAGAGCTGCCAGTGTGAGTGTGTATGTGTGTGTGTGTGTGTGTGTGTGTGTGAGTGTGCATACGTAGATTTTGATTTGGGAGAGCCCGATCTCATTTTGCAGGGTGCACACGTCTTACAAGGAATCCAGCCCCCCATGCCCCTGCCCCTGCCACTATCGTCGTGTCCAGCAAAATGGCATCCTTCCAGGTGCCTAGTGCCTTGCTGCAATTCTGCGACGTGGACCCAAGAGTGGAAAACGGGCTGGGAGTCGTCTGGGACAGCACTGGGACTGCAAAGGGAAGTCTGAGGTTTACTGGACTCAGAGTTCAGCCAGTTTGCCTGGCAAGAGGGCCAACCAGTAGGGAGCAGGAGGCCTGGTGATGCAGGCTGAGAATGCAGGACCTTGCTCACTTGGGGAAAGGGAGAAGCGGTCCCGAGGAAGAATCCCCTTGGGGCTTGGTGCCAACTTGCCGTTATTAGTAAGTTTTTTTTTTAAGGCTGATAACGGGAGTTTCATTTCTTCTTATCCAGGACATCTAGTGTGTAAACGGGTTTCGCCAACTTGAAATTTCTGGTATTCCCTTGAATAACCTTCCTTAGCTCCCTGGACGTAGGCTTCCTGGACGCCAGTGCTGCAACAGCTCCACGTGCATCACACAGCCCAAGTCTGCTCGGGCTGGGGACTCGGGGGCAGTCTATGAACCTCTGCTGTTCTGGGCTCCTCTGACTTTGGCCTTGTGACTGAGTACTTCAGAATAAAATCCTGGTGGGTCAGAAGATTAGGAGAAGCCCAAGTTGGGGCTGGCCCCTAGGTCAAATCGAGCAAGGGTTATGCAAACCGGATTGGGTGCTCTTC